GATGTGCAGGGTGCCCGGGAGCAGCTCCCCAAAGCTGCCTATGTGGCCCGCAGGCCATAATAATTGCCCACCCCGTGTTAAGTAGTGACTGAGACACACGTTCAATCAGTTAAAGGTACGATAAAATGAGGAATAAGCCACAAAGTTATTACACCAAATACGTGTAATAGCTTTGTGGTTGGTTCCTATCATGCCTTTAATTGAACGTATAACTAGTGACCAGCCACTGGAGCATATGGGAGCCTTTCAAGACTCACATATGTTCTTGAGGCCTCAACGGCTCCCAGCTGGGGAGTACATCATGTGGCTTAGAGCCAAGTTTGCTACTTGTCCTTGCAGGGGGAGCCCGGGATTCCACAATTGCCCCTCCTGCCATGCACATGTGGTATGGCAGACAGCCCTATTATAGGTATTCTGCATCAAATCCTGTTGCGCTTTTACTTCAGCGTCTGTTAGAAGCCATAATTATTTTTCCTCCATTCACCCAATATGCTTACAGGGCACAATTAATCTTGCATGTTTTGTGGACCCAGATGGGAGAGGAAGCACAGTGCCTGAGAGCTCTGCACTCACTGAGCTTTAGAAGCAGTTAGCTAAACTACCTAGCTTCTGGCAGCTCTGGGACTTAGTTGCCAATCTAAAGCTTCTTTGTTTCTGGTCATCTGCTTCAGGTGACATCTCTAGTGAATAGATCAGCTGAATGTGGAGTCAGACAACATAATTTGCGGGTTCAAAAGTTGTGACTTTAGTAAGATCAATTTGGACTTTCTGTACTTTGTGTTTGGAGCAGGAATTCTGCAGACACAGACTGTGCCTGACTTCAGCTGTATTAATCTATTACCCAAATAATTTACAGCCATTCTTGAGACACAGGAATTTAATGTTTAGGTCTTATTTAGGAGGAAGTTAGGCATTGTTTGGGAGGGAAAAAAAGTCTTGCTACTACAAGAAAAATAATAAACTTTTATATAATATTGTCATCCAGAAATCTCAGAGTGATTAACAAGAAGGTCAGTGTCATTATCCCTGTTTTACAGGTGGGGAAGCTAAGGCTCAGACTGGTAATATGATATTTTGCTTTGGACAGATTTCTACTCATAAATGAAATGTACAGTCCTCTGTCATTGAGGTACCTACCACCTTGATAGCACATAAACGTGTTAATTACTAACATATCTCTAATTTACTGGCTACAATGGATTTCATTTTGGCTGACCAGTCAAAGAAGAGGTTCCCTAGCCCAGAATACTTAGTGAAATATATAGATATAATTTTAAGAGTAATCAAGTTTTAACTGGAACTGCAAGTGTCAACAACTTTGTCAACATAGGAAAGACCATGAAGTGCAAATATAAATAAGTGTCCTCCTTTTGTACCTCATCTATGGCTCTTTTAATAATAAATTGTATTTAGACAAACAATACTGTGCATTTGGCCAATATGTACTATAAACCTTTGGAATTAGAGCATGCAAAGCACATCATAAGCTAGATTTTTGTTTTGACATGCCATATTGGTCATCTTACATAGCCATGAAAATATGGTGTCATTTTTTTCACTGTATTGAAAAGAATGCTACATGACTAATTCTTATAAATTATAAGCAGTTACTATTCTCCTTTCATATATGGTTTTCAGGAACTTTTAATTAAAACAAAGAGAAGAATTAATTTAGGTTATATTGAATTACTTGGTATGTGAAATTATATTACTTTGATTTGTGATCTTACCAAATAATACAATCTAATCAAACTAGGGATTTGCCAGCATATAAAAGGGAGGCCTCCAGAGAGAATTAAAAATATTTCTTGGAGATAAATCATTTCATAGGTAATATTCTTCTTTCCGAGTGACTATACCAATATGATAAGGTACTATACAGCAGATTATGGTTTTTTTTCACAATTTCTGACCATTTTTGGTTTCTAAACTCTCACAGTATTTTTTTTTTTTAAAGTGGTGTTAAGATCCTTAGGGTTCATTAGTCAAATTAAAAATAAATACATTTTGCCAACCTAAATTCTCCCTAGAGAATTTAAATGCCTCATTAGTTATTATACTAAGCTTTTAGGTCAGGGACAGGCAAAGTCCAACTTGCGGGTCAGATCAGCCCTGTGGTGAACTCCATTTCCCAACAGCCCCTTGCCACGTTGCTGCAGCCAGTTTCCATGGAGACCCCAAGAGCGATGAGGCCAAGACAGTGTGGGGCCAGGGTTTCCATGGAGACCAGCCCCAGCAGCCCGGGCAGGCTATGCGGGTGGGTGGGAAACTGTTCTGGGATCTTGCATCAGTGACAGCATGGTCTGGAGCCAGGGTCGAGCCCCACCTCAGGCAGGGGCATGTGGGCAGTAGATCACAGCTCTGCCCCAACTCCAGACCACAGTCACTGCTGT